TCTTATTAACCACATACTATGTCCTTCAATCTCTGTTGGGGATCCTGTTATTTATCTTGGTTATTTATTTTCTGTTGTATGTTACCGGAATACTGACAATGAGGTCGCGTTTGACCGAACTCAAGTTCTCTGTGTGTTTCAGTGTATAGCTATTAACCTTTGACTAACTGCTTGGAAAAGTTTTTGGTACTCTTGCGGACATATATTTTGTCCTGTTTTGTTGAAAATATTTTTATTGTTTCTCAGATATCAACTCTTGTTTATTATCTATTCTTTTTGTTGTTCAGCACGCCAATTAGTGTTAGAAAACCTTTGACCGTAAATCACAGGTTGAACCGTTTGAGGTATTTTGTACTTTGGATACAATTTGTTCCCTTTCTCAAACTACAAAACGTTCAAACTGAGCACAAAGTTTGTGTTTCGATATAATTTAATATGAGTCATTCAAAAACGCTTCGCACGTCATACAGACGGACGTAGTCTGACATTTTTGAATAAACTTTGGTTCGTTAGTTTTACTTTCCCACCAGTCCTTACAGTATTACTCGCCGAAATATATGTACTAAAGAACTCAAATATACAAGCCTGTTCATCTCAAACAGTTTACGTTTTTTGTGATATAAAATACTCTCTCGTTAACTGATTACCAATTGTTTCAATGGTTAAGATCATGAGTCATTTGAGACTAGAATACCATGGAAAACCTGATAGCACTGGACGGTCGTTCCGTCCTATTGTGAGACTCAGCAGTGCGAATCCACGAACCTGTCTAGCGTGATTCGAATCCAGTTCCTGACAGTCTCGCACGCGAGCGCCTAAGCACTAGACTACTGAGTACGCAAGGCTGATTCGAATGTTAGATAAAAACTGAAGGGCCTATACATGAACTAGTGAGTAACATATGCCTTTGTTCAGGGATTACTCTTATACATAAACGCTTTTACTGTAGTGTTGAGGTAGTGGTCACTAAGCTTTGTTGGGAAGTTTTGAAACGCGGTAGGACTACCAGTAAGCCACATCTGTCCGCACTTTTATGTGCACGCCTATTATTCATCCTCAGATATATGTTGGTGTCATTTTCATTACGATGTCTTTCATACGGCCAAGTAAGCAGCGAACTCTCAGCACGTTGTCAATTTTCTAAGTGACGGTGGTGAGTAAATGTCTCGCTTATTATGATCAAGTTAACTCAATTGTCCGAGATTAAAGGCTAAATAAGAAACCCCCCAAGAATAATATGTTTCAACTACTGATATCCAAACAAACAAATATTAAGTGAGTAAATGAGACTCAGTGATTGATCCTAGGCTAACTTCAGAAGACACGTTATCTGCGAAAATCATGCTCCTAAACAGAGCATAACTCATCGAACCAACAGAAATTGAGAAATGAGGCGAATGTGCTATAAATCCCTGGAAACGTGGTATTATCTCATGGTTTGTATCAGTTTGTTATAATAGTTTTTGTTTCACAATGAAAAAACTTGTATTTTTTTCAGTTTAGGGTTGTGGATATAGTTGAATTTTATTATACTCATGAACCGGCCAATGTTTGACAACCATGAAAAACCGACAAGCACTAGATGAACGTTTCGTTCCAGTGTAGAACTGTTTAACAGTACGCACCCACAATCGTTCATCTGAGACTTAAACGTGAAAAGTTCACGCCTAACCTCTAGTCCACTGAGCCGGCATCCAACAGTGTTAATATTTAACTCCAACCAATCCACGATGTTGATTGACTAACCCTACCGTCTCAGGCGGGAAATTGTCTCACATTCTACATAACTTCTCAGGGTACTGAGATCCCGCACATAGGACAGTGGATGAACGCTGCTGACGAGTCCTATACCTGGAGGAAACAGCCATCCAATGCTCACAGGTGTCGATGGTGGTCAAACGTTGGTAGGTCCATGATTTCAACGGAATTCGATTGTATATAATTCCCATGTTTTAGTACATTTGATAGTGTGGGTAATATTTATCTTACTCCATCATTCTTCAAATTCGATAACCACTTATTTTGAATAGTAAGCATTAAATTATTTTGCGTTTCTAATCAACGGGCAATCTTCACTAGTTTGAGCTCGATACATTATCTGAATTTTAGCCGTTGGATAGGTAATAACCCCAAACTACTCCCTCGTAAACTAGATTTGCCAACAATTATTAATGACCATTCTGCTTATTTGTCTTCATAGTCCTCATCATCTAGCGACTTAATAAATTACATTTGAGATTTTTTCGCATTCATCAATCCCAATATTTTCATCGTTCTTTTCTTGAACTGTACATGTTTTGCCTTGATATTGACGGTCATAAACATCGACCTGAAAGTTGATATGAATTGTTCAATATATGCAACTTGTACATATACGTAAACTAGTAATATAAAAGCTTAGGTATTGTACTATATTTAGACATTTACTTTAGGACGATTTATCACTTTAATTACGAAAACAATTGAACTACAAAGATTCAAGTACATAGTGAGTTATTACGGAACTAGGTCAGATGAATAATGAAAACACGAGGGAATAGTGTTGTCATATTGATGTCACTGACTACAACGGAGTTCGGATCTACATTACTCGTGAAATTACGAAGTTTGTACGTTTGGTGTCAAATTAAAACCCATTGAGGTATTGAAATGTTCGCTCACTAAATTACTGGTCACATAACTGTGTAAAACCCGGAAATATCGTGTCACTATGAAGCCAATAAAAACTGAATAGTAGTTGCAATATGGGAGGTTAGATTAATACATAACTGATATTATAAGATTCTGAAACCGAACTTATTCAGTATATCTGTACCAACAATAGAATTTAAGTCACGCACTACTGAGTTCGATAGTTCAAGAGACGGTAATAGCCAATAACTTCCATACAATGACGCAACAAACGTTCAGAACGTTGCAGAAGATACCCAGGAGAGATGCTATAAGGAAAAATGTAAGGATGGATAAAAATCATGGTGCCCGAGTAGGGTATGTCAATTCAGGTCACTTCAAATGTGAACAACCAACAAGCAAACGACGACCATTTAAAAATGCAACTATCAATGAATAATAACAAACGATACAAAAACAAACAGAAGATATGTTTCAAGATCAACCTCACAAAACACAGGCAATCAACTCACAAAGTAATAACCGAAGTACGGCAGTCCAATATGGCGAGCGCCATAAAAACTAAGTAAAATAAAATGGTCATCAAAAGATAATTAGGATTCAAAATTTTTAGAAAATATATTGAAAATAACTGCAATCTGTCTCAAGAGTGATAATCAATATACAAAATACAGACAATAACAAAAGAAATAATACATAATATAAGTAGCTAGACATAGGAAAAACAGATATGGAAGGATTTTCACCATATTTCCAAGTGAGCATACAAAAACAGATCCGAACTGATAGTTATGCCGTATGGTCTGCACTCACTGTGAAAGTTATTCAAACGATCAGAATATACGGCCAGTAAAACGCCACTGATCTCTGGCCAAACCGTTCGTCAGGTTGAACCATTTCTACATCAGGTGACAAGTCACTGGTCTTCAGAGTCTTTCGAACATAGTCGAGGTCAAGGATAACTAAGTCGGATGCCTTAATCTACTGGCCCATGCGATAGCGTTTCCGTCTTGTACCCGTGCAATATTTTTATACTAATACGTTTCTTCAGAAATTTCATGTTTGTTTTACACGGAGAGCACAGAAACCACAAAAGAGTAACGCACGCTAGGTATTAACCATGAGGTGTGACTTCGACGCAAGCTACCAGGTCACGCTCAATCTCGTGCGATTAGAGTAGACTCCGATCTTCGATAAAGATCATCTAAAAGAGGTACTGAGGTGATACTAGACGAAGGTCAAGTATTCTTTTTCAACAAAAAATAATCAAACGGGAAATTTTAAAATTTAAAGCAAAAATTATCAACACTCTCTCAGATTATGAGAAAAAGGCGAACAGTCAGAAAATGTTCTAATCAACACAAATGAGCATTTTAATATTGACAACTTATTCAAGCTTATTATTGATTGAGTAATACCTATAGTCCAGCGAACTACAAGGGCCATATAAAAGATAAATTCCATCTAATCATCACACACACAAATGGCTGGTCGTCATTAAAGTTTAGATCAATCGAGTAAAATTGGAGTAATTTTTAGTGTATACCAAAATTCAAGGTGTATGTCTTTGTACCCATAATAATTACGCATATTTTGTAAGTCCGTAAATAAGTCAACGTAATAAATATATTTTGAGTAATAAAAAACAATAATTAAACAAATATTTCCATCTAAAATATACCTAGCCGAATGGATACTCTCATTATAAAATCAATACTGAAATCGAAAAATCAGAAATAAACTAAAATTCTCTACAAGGAAGACAATAAGGGAGATTTAGGATTGACGAATACAAACAACAAAAAATAACAATCTAATCTAATTTATCAATAAACGATAAAAGTGACTCAAGTAAATAAATGATCAAAGAGAAATCGCAATTTGAGATAACGGAGAAAATTTCTAGTCAACGAAGGTTAATTTTTGTGTTGAATTTCCCGAACTGGGTGGTGGTTTGCTATTTTCATTGTAAACAGCATTATCAAATACAAACTTCAGATAGAAAAGAACTATTTAAAATTCTCCACATACATGAATGACAGATTGTTTTATCTACAACAAACTTGATTGGCTGTCGGTGATAACTGTGCTGTTGTTGTCCACACAACTGCTTTTAGGTCCAAAAAGAAGGACAAGACAAGTGTCAACAATAGCCAACCAAATTTAAGATCGACACAATAATTTGTTAGCTACACACGGATAATTTCGAATAAATCACTTCTAGCTGTCATTTACGCTGATAATGTCTGTGAAGAATATGAAAGCTATGAGAATAAACTCAACTCAGAAAAACTAGCTTTAACAAAGTAATCATAAACTCCTAGCTATAAAGTAGGCGTGCAATGAAAGAATTGTTAAAAACTAAAGTGTTATGAATGAATCGGATGTGATGATAAACAGCTAAGTAAATCTTGTGGTTTTAATTCATTTTGACAAATTCGATGAACTCCAATAAATAGAGGAAAATGGGCAGTACGATGTCTTGCAGTCAATATTTTATATATCTTGAAGAAAATGAAATAAAAAAGAATAACGAAACAACATTACTAGATATTTCAGGTAACAAAAAAATACATTATTGAACATGAGTATGAGGGTGTAAGTAAACCATAGAATTATTTATTGAAACATAAATATTGGTACAAGAGGGCACCAAATATATATGCGCCACACAAAACAATGACAATGGGAACAGGAAAAAACGGAGGTAAGGAGCTTAAAAGAAAAAAAGGAGAACAATAACGACCAGATTAGTGTAAGGTAGTGTAATAATAATAATAATAATAATAATAATAATAATAATAATAATAATAATAATAATAATAATAATAATAATGGAAGAAACGGAAAGGTACAACCAGAAAGAATTATTTCAGTTAAGGAAGATACAACCACTTTTATGTAGAAAGTAAGAGAAGGTTACAGCAGGATCGCCATTGACTTCTATTCTGAGCCATATCTGATAACGTCTATAGCCACCGTGCTGCACCATATCTCGGGCCCCAGCAAGTGAGTCGTGAAGAACCAACACAAGCCAGCCCATTGCAGCTTTCGTTCATACCACGACACTATGTTATACACTGACCACCTCTCCGCTTTTTCCAACCAGTCCCGGCGTCGGCAAATAATGCACGACGTGGAATTCTCCGGGACAACATTCACAGAACATGTCCAAGCCACCGAAGTCGGTGTTTCAAGATGGTGACACCAATCGGATTATCGTCACTCGGCCCGAACACACGATGCCGAACCTCTGCATTACTAACATGATGTTGCCATGGAATGTCAGCAATCCTTCGAAGACAGCGATGATCAAACACAGAAGGTCGTCTAACATCCTCAACTCGGAAAGGCCAGGTTTCACAAGCATAGAGCAAAACTGCTCTCACCGACGCGTTGTAGATCCGATCTTTTACAGCCAGACTGACATCACGAAGGCGCCAAAGATGGCCCAGATTAGCATAAGTAGCTCTGACTTTCACTATGCGTGCATTGATCTCATCACTCACACCCCCACCAGCACTTATGCAGCTACCCAGATACACGAACTTCTCGACTACGTCTATCTGCTCACCATCCAGGGTGAGTACAGGATTAGAATCCTGCCAGTCTTGTAAAAGTACTTTGCACTTCGAATGTGCAAAGCACATACCATAACTACGGACACTAATTGCCAACTGATTAAGTGCGGATTGCATGGCTTGGGCATTATCGCTCAGTAAGACAATATCATCTGCATACTCAAGGTCGAGAAGTCTTTCTCCAGGCAACAGGTCCACACCACCATTACTTACATTCATCAGAGCTGTTTCCAGAATGTCATCGATGGCAAAGTTGAAGAGGAATGGTGAGATTGGGCAACATTGCCTAACCCCTCTGCTTGAATGGAACAATGGAGAAAGGTGGTTGTATACCCTCACTCTACCTGAGGTGTTTGTATATAGGGCCTTTAGGATGTTAATAAACTTCTCAGGCACACCCTTCGTCAATAGACAATCACAGAGAACAGTCCTGTCTAACGAATCGAAGGCAGCCCTGATGTCAAGAAACACTATGATTGTTGGCCTGTGATAAGTATGACAATGTTCTAACGTTTGGTGGAGGGCGAAGAAATGATCAATACATCCTCAACCAGAACGAAAACCGACCTGCTCCTCGCGAGTCAATCTTTCTCGGGTTTCGAACAACCTACGAAGCATGACAGAAGCCAATAGTTCGGACGCAATCGGAAGTAGACTTGTCCCTTGATAGTTGCTACAGGAACTACGTGAACCGTTTTTAAAGATAGGGACAACCATCGATTCATTCCATGACGTCGGTACACTCTAGTTCCTAGACCTTTGGAAAAAACAACATCGTCAGTTCCTCAGTCAGAAAGTCACCACCATCTTTAAAAGGCGCCGGAGGTAAGTCATCTGGACCAGGTGATTTGTAGCGTTTCAAGAGTTGGAGTTCATTGCGGACTTCCGCCTCATTTGGTCGATCAGTCGTCACCGGCCATGGAGGGAAAGACAGTCCAACCGATGTCGCCGGAGCAGCAGGCCAGTTGAACTGTCCTTCGAAGAATTCTGCCCATCTTCCAAGACGTCGATGGAGGTCGGTGATTGGCATCACGTCATCCTTACAGATTGTTTCGTTCACACCAGACTTCTTGTTGTCAGTGGCTTGGATGAGTTGGAAGAGCTTCCAGTAGTTACCAGATGCAACTGCTGTTTCCAGCTCATTAGCACGCTCCAACCACCAGGCTTCTCGGTCCTTGCGCAAGATTTGCCCGATTTTGTTACGTAACAGTCGTCGTTTGTGGTCAAACGCACAGTCACCCGGAGTAAACCGACGGGCTTCGATGAGTTGTACGGAGCCTGAAGAAACCCGGTGCTTATAAGCGGGACGTTTCGCGAAGCCGCAAACGGCTTTACTCGCCATTTTGATGGCGTCATGAAGTTGCAACCAATGCTCATCTATACTTTTCGGTAGAATGGTAGCTAGCCTAGAAGCTAGCTCGATTCGATACTTACTTGCAACAGAAGTTGCAACCAACTTAATGACATCAATCCTTTGGTGGCGGTCATTTCGTTGGCCACTGAAAAGTAAGGTAAGATTGGCGCAGACCAGAGCATGATCAGAGTCCAGATAGGTACTCCAAAAGGAGAGGAAGTCTTTTACACAACCACGCCAGCAGTAGCTGATCGCGATGTGAACAATCTGAGTTCAGACTTGAGATGCAGAGGGAGGACGCCAGGTGGCACATCGGCGATGACTGTGCCGAAAGTTAGTGCTAGCCAGAAACAGGTTGTGGTCTGTGCATAGTTGCAGTAGACGGTCCTCGTTATCTATCCTGCGGTCAACAAGTCCCCATCGGCCACCTAATCGATTCTCTTCTGTGCCTAGACGCCCGAGCTGAGCATTCAAGTCTCCGGCTAGTACTACAATATCCGTCGAACGCACTTTCCGGAGAAGAACAGTTAACTGCTGGTAGAATTCATCCTTGATTGCATCCGAGCTGCAATCTGTCAGGGCATAAGCGGAGGTGACGAAAATACATCGTTTCTCATGCCGATTTCTTCTCACTTTGATGAAACTCTCTAATCTAACAGCACATAACCAATTGTTAATGGGAATTCAATCGATTAGTGCTACCTCAGCTCTAGCGCTTAGTGCGACACCAACGCCAGCAAGACCAGATGAAGATGCCATAGGGTCCCCGGATAAACGAACGTAAAACAAGCTTTTTGAAGCGACAGATGGAGAGGGGATTTGTAGTACTTCACTAAAGTCTTGAATACAGGCTTTGTATAGACAACAAACGTCGATATTAAGACTTTCCAAAGACATAGCCAGCCCTATCTGTTGTCCAACCTGCATAAGTGTGCGGACGTTGAAGGCAGCTAGTTTGTATGTTGCATGTCGTTTCATAAAAACTGCTTCAGTATTCGTATTTGGTGGTAGCATACAATTTTCAACTAGGCAGTGACTCGAAAACGTTTAGATAGAACCCAGTTTACACCATAGGCGACCTGCTGTATAAGTCGAAAAATAAGGATACATAAAGTGGGAATAAAAGAGAGTGAATAAATGACGTAGTAAATAATAATAATAACAATAATAATGTGAATTTTTTGACTGTAAATCGAAGCGAGAATAGAATTTTCAGTAAATATCGTCATTTTCATTTTATTTGTGTGAGGGTTGTGATACTGCCGGGTGCCCAGACCAAAGCAGATGGTTTTTTTAGGAGGCCACACCCCGAGCCTTTGACCTAGAAGTCTAACTCACAAGACAATGGACATCATGAGGAGATGCAGTCCCATGGTAGCCTGTGACCAACGATTGATTCATGCGCCATTTGTTCCTGTAGGATACTGGAGCCCATGTGCACCATTAGTTTGGGATCCGGTTAAAGCGCCGGACATTTGCTTTTCTTCCTCTCATTTTTGTAGACAACGCCCCGCCACGAGAAGGCAGTGAGTAGGACTTCCCTGGCAGAGGCTCTATACGCGTGGCCGTGTGAGAGTATTTCGAGAGGGAGAACGGGTTCACTCCACTCTTGGCCATACCAGGGCATTTGGAGGCGTATTTGAAATATTTGCATCATTTTCAATTATCACAGTTCAACTTATTTATTGTGATCATGAACCGATTGATGTTAGACCACCATCTAGAACCTGAAATTACTGGACTGCCGTTTCGTCCTACTGTCGAACTACTCAACAGTGCGCGTTCACGATCCCGCCGCAGGATTCGATTCCGGCGCCTTTAGTTTCGCGTGCGAACGCTTAACCTAGTAGACCATTGAGCAGGCCCATAGTATTTAGTTTTAACTCTATCAACTTAAAATCACTAAATATTTTGGTCTGAAAAGTTAGAATTATATATTGCTGAAACTTGTTTCTTCCTTAATTTGAACTTATAACTAAATGCTTTACTTAAAACTTATTGAAAATAACAATCAATATTCCTAAAAATGCGTTTTAATATAATGTCAACTTTCGCATGACCTATAAATAATATTCAACTCCGCTCGAAGCTCTTCTAGAGTTACTATCAGTCCCAAGTTCGAATAAAGGAGGAGGGTTGAGCATGGAGTCAACAACCACATCCCGTAGGAAAAAAATATTTGCTATAAAACGCTAACTAGAAAAATCATCTAAACCACTAAAACTCTGCCATGGGAGTTGTAGGATCTTCATTCAGAAGAATTATGACGCCTCATGACGAAAGCTGAGATTCTTCGACAATCACGAGGCCAACGCCCCTTCTAACAATTATGGTAACAATTAATATAGGTACATGGAATGTTCGGACAATGTGGGAAGACCAATCAAATAGCTACGGAAATGAGGAAATACAACTAAGCAGTGCTCGGAATCAATGAAACCCATTGGACCCAATGTAAAATGTGATCGATAGACGAACCCACCAATAACAAAGGGAAACGCCAACCACCACATTAACTCCTTTTAACCTTGTACGACTCTATCTCTTTATTGACCAATCACAGTTTGATGTTCATTGTAATACAATATTTGCTTGTTGACTCATTTTTCCTATTCTCTGGCTACTGTTCGGTATGTTATTTGTCTCTGTTTTTCCCTGTATCAATAAACCGTACTGTTTGTTTGTACACTAACGATGTTAATTTATGTTTTAGAAACAGATAAAGTTTATCTAGCCAAATAGCTTGCTTGTTCTGACTTTGGCCAAACCAAAACTCTGTATTCGACGGTCTAGAGAATAGCTCAGAATTAAACCTGTAGGAAATTGCTTCCTACAATCGAACAGTAAATTCGATATACCTACTTAAATGACCTCCAATAAATACTACGATTCCGACGAGATTCCAGAGTTATCACCCCATCATTCGGGAGTTTATGACGAGGATCAACTTGAAAAGGACGAACTCAAAAACAATAGGATGATAGAACTAGAGTTGGCTAGGTTGCGCATAACCCAGTTAGAAAAGGAAATTGAACTGGAAAAGTTACGTCTCCAGAAATGTGAAGGTTCCGGCCAGTGAGAATACAATATTAAAAAATCCGTATTTACCAAAAAGATTCGATGGTACACTGACAAATTATTGGAATTTCATTAGAAATTTCGAAGAATGCATTGAGAGTGAGAATGTTGGATTTAGAGCTAAGCTAAATTACTTGATTCAATATTGTGACGGAGAAGCAAAAGCCGCTTTCCTTCATTGTACTATAGTAGAACCAGAGATAGGTTATCATCAAGCCTTAAAGCTCTTAGAGGAAATGTTTAGCCAAAAACATGTTGTAGCACGCACGTTTATTGACTTGTTAAACTTTCCCAATATAAGGAGGAATCAACCAGATGGGTTGAGAAGACTATCTTGAGAAATGCAAGCATGTGGTTTGACTCTCGAACAGATGAATTACGTCTCTGATTTGAACTCTTCTAGAACTATTGAAACTGTGGTTCTGAAATTACCAATACACATTCAACAAGAGTGACTATAGGTAGCTTATAAGATTATTAGAGGAGGCCGAGAGCCTCTGTTCACCGACCTTGTTGAGTTTGTAAAGGGGCAAGCTGACATTGCTAATACTAGATATGGATTACTTGTCACTGGTGACCCTTCTAATCGCAACCAAAGACAATCTGCGGCTGATACTAAAGGACACTTTGATTCAAGATATAAGGCGAGAGTGTCGTTCGCTAACACGAGTGAGTCTGATGTCACTCCATATGTAAGACCAAGGACTCTCGGATTGTCATGTTCATTATGTACTGGAAACCACCCTTTAGATCAATGTGAAAGGTCTAGAGACAAGAATGTTAATGAAAGGATAGAATTTGTATCAAAGAAGAAGTTATGTAATGTCTGTCTAAAAGCGAATCACATAGCAAGAAACTGTCGAGCACCGAGGTCATGTGCCGTCGAAGGATGTAGTTGGAGGCATCACACGTTGTTACATAGGAAGCGGGAAGAGCAAGGAGATAATAATAATGAACACATTAACACCCAGCTATGTACGGAGAAAAGTGTTGAGCGTGTACAGCAACAAGCAGCATTCGCAATAGTGCCTGTACTGGTAAGAAATTGAGAAAAGGTAGCACAGACTTGCGCCTTCTTAGATAGTGGGTCGGATGCCTCGCTTACTACAGAAGATCTAGCTGGAAGGTTGAATTTAGAAGGAGAGCCTAAGACGATTTCATTGAAAACGTTGGATAACTAGTCCACAATTCAGTGTACAGAGGTCCAACTAGAGGTTTTCTCCTTAGACTCGTCTTCGTCATTTAGAATCCCAAACTTATGGATAGTCGAGAGATTACCTATGTTGCGCAGGACGGTACCAACGACGTTTCAAATGACATCCTGGACGCATTTAAAAGACAAGTTTTCCGAGAGTAGAGGATGAGAATGTCGGACTGTTGATCGGGTGCAACGCACCGAGTGTACACGAAATGAAAGAGATAAGAACTGGAAAGCCGAATGAACTATTCGCCGTGAAGAATGTTAGGCTGGACGCTGTTCGGTTTCTATGGGGAACCCTGTAAAAGCAATCGTGCACTCAATCACCTCTCAGCTAAAGAGGAATTAGAGGATAAGTTCGAACATTTGTACTCAACTGAATTCAAAGATCCATTCAGTCGTACTATATCGATGTCTGTAAAAGATCGTATAGCAATCAGTGCTATATCAAATTCAGTACAAAGGTTAAACGGGCACTATCAAATAGCTCTGCCTTAGAGGCACAAACACAAGTTATCTAATAACAGAGAATTGGCAGAACGTAGACTTAGCTGTTTGAAAGGTCGACTTATTCGGGATAAGAAGTTGTTCCAAGACTATGTAAACTCCATGACTCGATATGTAGAACGAGTTTACGCTGAAAAAGTAAACGATAACCTCTCTGATGGGCGAATTTGGTATCTTCCTCATCATCCAGTCTTCTACCCCAAGAAACCTAACAAGCTAAGAATAGTGTTCGATTGTGCTGCTCAGTATGCTGGAACGTCTTTAAATAAGAACCTTTATTCTGGGCCTGATTTAGTCAATAACCTAGTAGACGTTTTCACCAGGTTCCGGCAACGACCAGTAAGTCTTACGGCGGACATTGAAGCTATGTTCCACCAAGTAATAGTTCCGCCGCATGATCGAGATGTTCTTAGATATTTGTTGTGGCCAAGTGCAGGCATAGAAAAGGAACCCGAGATCTATAGAATGAAGGTCCACCTGTTCGGGGCAACTTCATCGCCATGTTGTGCCACCTTTGCTTTACAGAAAACGATTTCTGATAATCAAGATAAATTTCCCAGGGCTGTTATGCAAGCAGCTAAAGAACAGTTCTATGTAGATGATTTATTGATAAGTGTTTGTACTATAGAAGAAGCTAAACTGACATATTCACACTTTAAAAGACTCCTAAGTTTGGGAGGATTTAACTTAATTAAATGGACTAGCGTTGAAGTGCTGGAGTTTATTCCAGAAGAAGACCGTGCTGAAGGAAACATTATTGTCTGCGAGTCCAATGAGACAAGTAAACGAACTCTGGGAATCGAGTGGAACGTCCGAACAGACGAATAATGTTTCAAAGTTCATGAATTTCACGGAAACCCAACCAGAAGGAATGTTTTATCGTATGTAGCACCTATCTTTGATCCAATTGGATTTGTAGCCCCAATAATATTACCGGCTAAAGTGATCTTACAAGATACTTGTCGTCAGAAGCTAGACTGAGATGCCGAGTTACCCACAGATTGTCAAGCAAAATGTAATATTTGGTGTAGACATATAAAAGGGTTGGAACAGTTAAGAATACCAAGGTGTCTGAAACTATAGCCCATGTATTGACAGAGGATTTCGGACTCCCAATACACAATGATGAGTTCCTAGATCGATTTCGTACGTGCAAGTCGTGGTCTAGACTTCAAAGGGTATTTTCATACTGCAGACGGCTTATCAATAATATGTTAAATAAGAGGAACGGAAATCGCCTAACCTTAGGTGCGCTAAGTGCTGAGGATATCGAAAATTCGAAGAGTGACATAATTAAACTAGTCCAAAGTATCGCATTCCTGGTCGAAAAAAGAATTCTAAACAACTCACCGTTGACGCTCGTAGAAAATGCTTTTAGACAGCAAAAAGGTCAAGAAGCAGTGGACGAGGTGAACAGGAGAAAAAAATTAATTCGTCAAAGTTCTATAAGAAATCTCAACCCCTTTATGTTAGAAGGCAAGATCCGAGTGGGAGGACGTTTGCATTTATCATGTTTACCCTTTGAAACCAAATATCCGATTATTCTTCCTAATAATCGTTTTGTTACAGATATGATTATAATGCGTTATCATGTGATTAACGCACACGTTGGAGTTACTGAAACTCTGAGTAGTATTCGTGAGAAGTATTGGATTGCTAGAGGATATTATACTGTTCGGAAGGTTCTAAAACGATGCTATTTATGTAGAAGACTTTACCCTACACCATGTTCCCAATTACTGGCACCGTTTCCGGAATACAGAGTAGAGACTCATTCACCACCCTTTAGTCAAGTAGGTGTGGATTACTTCGAACCATTCTATGCCAAACGAGGTAGAGTTGTCGAGAAACGTTATGGCTGTTTATTCACCTGCATATCGAAATGGCCTACTCTTTAGATACGGATTCATTTCTATGCGCATTATCAAGATTTATTGCCAGAAGAGGATGCTCAAAGCGTATTTTTAGTGATAACGGCACAAACTTCTGTGGTGCAGATGCCAGTTTGAGACAGATTATACGTTCCTGGAATACTAATAAAATAGAAAACCACCTTAAAGAACAAGAATGTGAGTGGCGTTTTAACGCACCTAGGGCAAGTCATCGAGGTGGTTTGTGGGAACGCATCATAAGATCAATTAGAAGAATCTTAAGAGTGCTTTTATTCCAAAACGTGTTGACCGATGAAACTCTGTAAACCTTCTTAACTGAGGCGGAACGGATATTGAATGACAGACCTCTGGTTAAGATGACAGATGACCCTGGTACCCTAGAAGTTCTTACTCGGAACTAGTTGTTGTTGATTCATAAAAAATTACCATTCGTCGATGCTCCGGTAGATAAGACGTTATTATACAACAAAAGATGGAAAGAAGCTCAAAGACTAACCAACGCATTCTGGAATAGATGGATAAAAGAATATTTACCGACTATCCAAACAAGAGACAAATGGTTGGACGTACACAAGAACTTACAACCGGGTGACTTAGTCCTTGTAAGTAACGTCGAAATGAATAGAGGTCTATGACCTAAGGCTATTGCCGAGCAAGTAAGCTATGGCCCGGACGCACGAGTCCGCACGGTAAAGTTGAGAACTTCAAACGAAGAAATCGTCAGATGTGCGAAGCCTATGCCTGCTAAAAGAAGCCGGTTGTCTGACGGCGACGACGACCCTGGACGATGGACGTGGTGCGCGTTTGGGGGGAAGTGTAAAATGTGATCGATAGACGAACCCACCAATAACAAAGGGAAACGCCAACCACCACATTAACTCCTTTTAACCTTGTACGACTCTATCTCTTTATTGACCAATCACAGTTTGATGTTCATTGTAATACAATATTTGCTTGTTGACTCATTTTTCCTATTCTCTGGCTACTGTTCGGTATGTTATTTGTCTCTGTTTTTCCCTGTATCAATAGACCGTACTGTTTGTTTGTACACTAACGATGTTAATTTATGTTTTAGAAACAGATAAAGTTTATCTAGCCAAATAGCTTGCTTGTTCTGACTTTGGCCAAACCAAGACTCTGTATTCGACGGTCTAGAGAATAGCTCAGAATTAAACCTGTAGAAAATCGCTTCCTACACCCAAGCTGTGAGGAAAAGCATTGATTTTGAAGAGATGCTGCTGTACTCTGGTCACGAAGAACAAATTGCTCCACACACTCATGGAGTTGCTCTGATGTTGTTCAAAGAAGCACGAAATACACTTATTCAGTGGGGATCTCATGGATTCAGGATCGTCAAAGCATCCTTCAAAACAAAGAACGAGGGAATTACAACGAACCTTATCCAATTTTATGCACCCACCAATGATAAGGACGATGACGATAAAGATAAGTTTTACGAGAGGCTGCAATCAATCATAGCGAAGTGCTCAGAAAAGGACCTGATTATTCTGATGGGAGACGGAATGAAAAGTATTGGAAAACGGGATGAAAAAAAATTCACCAAGAAATATTTTTTTAATGGCTGTGCATTTAATGTTTATCATCTTAGGAATGGATATATATATATATATATATATATATATATATATATATATATATATATATATATATATGGTACAAAACGTTCACTCGTAGAGTTACCTGTTTCGCATAATCAACTCCATCAGTATATACTCTGTTTGAGTCTTTGGTTAATTGTTGTAAACTGAAAGAACTTCCTGGGCGAGATAATCTACGACCAACAGTGATATTTATTAAATCTAAATCTGATCCAATATCCGGAACTTCATCGCTTCGATGAGACATACCTAAAAATAATCAAATAATAATAATTTTTTAAAAGATTTAATCCCCATTAGGAAGCAATTTATTTATCATCCACTTTATTAGGTACCAATATGTGAGCTTGACTGTGTACCACAATATGAGTGTGAAATTTTGTATTATTACTTGGCTGGTTGTTTAAACCTAAGTGGGCAGAGCGGAATCCGATCCTACGACTTAGTGGCTAAAACTTATACATATTAACCACTGAGCCACCATACCATTTTGAAGTAAAAGATACATGTGCTTTTTCATAACGTAACTTAACTGAAATACAATTTATATCTAGCCAATTCTATTATCAAAAAATTTAATGATTTTATGTATCATAACGAATTTTCAACGAATTAATCATATAACACTATAAAGTGGGATGATGAGTATTAGTAATATATAATGACAAAGCAACAAAGCGTACGAACAAACCTAACAGGTTCAATAAATTAAACAAGGGTAAGAACCTTTGCAATATTGAAAAAGACTGGATTAACACTCTATGAAAAAAATATATACTCTTACTAATAAAGTTCATTTAGTTAAGCAGGACTATTCACAGAAATTTAACCTACATATCAATTAATTCGTCGTAGTCACACAAGATTGGGTATGGGGTTGACGTCCCCATCCCGTAGAAAACTAACTCGCTAAAAAACGCTAACCAGAAAAAAATTATTCAAACCTTTTAAACTCTGGCCCGGTAGTCAGAAGGTCTTCATTTAGAAGAACTATGACGTCTCATGATGAAAGCCGAATTCCTTCGGAAGTTACGAGGCTGATGCCCCTTCTGACAACCAGAGCGACCATTTATTTAGGTACATGGAATGTTCGAACAATGTGGGACACCGGGAGAGTCTTCCAAATTGCTGCAGAAATGAAAAGATTCCAACCTAGAGGTACTTGGGATCAGTGAAACACATTGGACGCAAGATGGACAACAACGACTAACTTCAGGAGAGCTTCTGTTATACTCCGGCCATGAAGAATAAAATGCCCCACATACACAAGGAGTTGCATTGATGCTGTCCAAACAAGCGCAAAATGCGCTTATAGGATGGGAATCTCATGGATCAAGGATCATCAAAAGGAGGACGATGGAAGACGTGCGAACCAAGAGAGGAGCTGATATAGCATCAGACCATCACTTGCTGGTCGCCAAGATGAAATGGAAACTCAAGAATTACTGGACAACGGGATGGACAATATCACAAAAGTTCAATACGGCCTTTCTTCAGGATACTGACAAACTCAACAAATTCAAGATAGTCCTCAGCAATAAGTTACAGGCCTTTCATGATCTACTCAATGGAGAAGGAACTACTGTGGAGAGCAACTGGAAGGGAATCAAAGAGGCAATCACTTCAACATGTCATGAGGTCCTGGGTCACAAGAAGCACCATCACAAGGAATGGATCACTGTTGATACACTGGATAAGATTCAAGAAAGTAGAAACAAGAAGGCAGCAATCAATAGCGGTCGAACAAAAGCAGCAAAAGCCAAGGCACAAGCTGAATACACAGAAGTAAACAAACGAGTGAAGAAGAGCATCAGAACCGGCAAACGTAAATATGTGGAAGATTTAGCAAAAACGGCGGAAAAGGCTGCAAGAGAAGGAAACATGAGACAACTGTATGACATAACAAAGAAACTCTCTGGAAATCGCCGCAAACCAGAACGACCAGTGAAAAGCAAGGAAGGCGAGGTAATCACTAACATTGAAGAGCAACAAAACAGGTGGGTAGAACACTTCAAAGAACTATTGAATCGACCAGCCCCACTGAACCCACCCAACATCGAAGCAGCACCCACGGATCTCCCAATCAACGTTAGCCCACCAACAATTGAAGAAATCAGCATGGCCATCAGACAAATCAAGAGTGGCAAAGCAGCAGGACCAGACAACATTCCAGCAGAGGCACTAAAAGCAGACATAGCGGCAACGGCAAGGATACTACACATTCTCTTTAATAAGATTTGGGATGAGGAACAAGTACCAACAGACTGGAAAGAAGGACTTCTGATCAAAATACCGAAGAAAGGCGATCTCAGCAACAGTGATAACTACAGGGGCATCACTCTTCTTTTAATACCGGGAAAAGTCTTCAACAGTGTGTTGTTAGACAAAATGAAGGACTCCGTATACTCCCAACTTTGAGACCAACAAACTGGATTCCGTAAATACTGATCGTGTACAGACCAAATCGAAACACTACGGATCATTGTGGAACAATCAATTGAATGGAATTCATCACTTTACATCAACTTCATTGACCACGAAAAAGCATTTGATTGCGTGGACAGAACAACAATATGGAAGCTTCTTCGACACTACGGTGTACCTCAGAAGATAGTCAATATCATACAGAGTTCATATGATGGATTACACTGCAAAATCGTGCATGGAGGACAGTTGACAAAGTCGTTCGAAGTGAAGACCGGTGTTAGGCAAGGTTGCTTACTCTCAACCTTTCTCTTTCTCCAGGTGATCGACTGGATCATGAAGACGTCAACATCTGAAGGGAAGCACGGGATACAATGGACATCTAGCATGCAGTTGGACGATCTGGACTTCGCAGATGATCTGGCCATTCTATCCCAAACGCAACAACAAATGCAGGAGAAGACGAACAGTGTAGCAGCAGCCTCAGCAGCAGTAGGTCTCAATATATACAAAGGGAAAAGCAAGATTTTCCGATACAACACAGCATGCACCGATCCAATCACAATTGACGGAGAATATTTGGAAGATGTAAAAACCTTTACATATTTGGGCAGCATCATTGATGAACAAGGTGGATCTGATGCAGATGTGAAGGCGCGGATCGGCAAAGCAAGAGCAGCAAATTTACAACTGAGGAACATCTGGAACTCAAAACAACTGTCAACCAACACTAAGGTCAGGATTTTCAATACAAATGTCAAGACAGTTCTACTGTATGGAGCAGAAACCTGGAGAACTACGAAAGCCATCATCCAGAAGATACAGGTGTTTATTAACAGTTGTCTACGAAAAATACTCCAGATCCGTTGGCCGGACACTATTAGCAACAACGTACTGTGGGAGAGAACAAACCAGATCCCAGCGGAGGAAGAAGCGCTGGAAGTGGATAGGACACACATTGAGGAAAGCACCCAACTGCGTCACAAGACAAGCCCTCACATGGAATCCTCAAGGCCAAAGGAAAAGAGGAAGACCAAAGAACACATTACGCCGAGAAATGAAAATAGACATGAAAAAGATGAACAAGAATTGGATGGAATTAGAAAAGGAGGCCCAGGACAGAGTGGATTGGAGAATGCTGGTCGGCGGCCTATGCTCCATTGGGAGTAACAGGCGTAAGTAAGTAAGTCACACAGTTATTGGGGATCAGTATTGTCTGTCTGTCATCATTAACAAACACTCATTTGAGTGAAAGAAAAATAATCTTGAAGCATCTTACAACATAAACTGTTACTTGATTGCATATTTTTTTCAATCGTTTAGACGAATTCCAACTATTTATTATGTAAAAAGCCCATACAATGAGTGAAACGGTTATAATAAAGACATAAATTGACATCTGAAATTAAACCTTCAGAAAAATATATTCGCCGGGAAAAATTTAAATAATGAAGAAAGTTAGAAATAATCAATGTCAAGTTTTTAAAAACACGCTGATAAGCAAATAAATAGGAAACAATATGGAAGAAGTAAAGTCCAATCATAGAAAGATACATGTAGATTGGTTAAAAGTTTATCATTTTTAATTAACCTTTGATTCGTTCATCATAACTAATCGATATGAGTAAAATCCTGGTGAGAGAAAATAAATAAAAGGCTAAAATCTATAAGATTTCCTGATTTTATTTAGTTGAAAAAAAAATAAACACAATCGATAAGAAGGGAAACATGTGTTTAAAAAAAATTAATCCCGTCAACAAAACATGCTTAAATTGCTACCATCCAATACAGTCTGAAGAGATCAAATAAAGTTTATATGTCATGAATCGGTAAGTAGATTCAGCTGGAAATGTCACACAGCTGACTGGCCATATGTATATATCTTGATAAAAGCGACCAAGTCTATTGAAGTTTCAAGTTGGTCTACCATACTTAGGAATTCAGGAACGATTGAGCTATTCTAATACTCATGGATCTATTTATGACTTTATTATGCCAGGTGGCAAACAACACTTCAACAATTTGCCACTACCATTGAAAGAAGAAGTGTGGGAACAGCCTGATACACAGGTAAAACAACTTAAAATGATACAACCTAGCGCAAGCTTTAACAAAGGCATGATTTCGAAGTACAGAGAAAATGTGCGAACTGGAAAGTACCCACAGTAAAAAAAGAATACCCTTTTTATTAATATGGAATTTAAAGGAGATATGGCTGCTGAAATCTTAAATAAACGGATTTCAAAATCGTTGAATAAAACATTCTACGCAGCTAAGCTCCGCATTGTTTTCTCAAACCGGCCCAACATTCGAGGATGTGCTAAGGATAAAATTCCGCCTTCGGCCACATCAATGTGTATCTATAAATTTACTTGCTCACGTGGGGCACGTTACATAGGCCGCATAAAGCGATCGCTGTCCAAACGCACTTCGGAACACTATCAGGCTTGGCTCTTAAAAGAATGTAAAACAATTACTAATTCTATGCAGGAACATTTAATTAACTGTGGACACATCGCTTCAAAGTAATCTACAGTCAAATGAATTGGATCGAAGGGCTGTCGAATCAATATTTTATGCACTGCTGAGGCATTGGCAATCCACGAACTTTGCGTGCAGAAACGATTCGTCCAATCTTTTATTCTTTCTTGGCCCTAATTCCTTTGATGGGTATTTTTCGGGGTTGTTTCTTTTGCATATTTATTTGATTATTATTGAATTTTTTTTAATTACGGTTTTGAATTTTAAACTCTAATCAGTTATTATATATATACTGAATAATAATCAAGAAAACTTGTATAGGGTAATAATAATAACTGATTAGA